TAAGAAAAAGTTGTTTTTAAAAAGTTACAACAGGGATGATAGCCAAGCTTAACTCTTCGTTTCCTTAAAAAAAAATTATTTGCTTCGAATTCCAAGTTACTAAGAAGAGATGATACGGGGGGGGAGCATTAATTCTACAGTAAAATGTAATTAAACTCAATGTATACAATATTTTACAAACCTAAATAATGTTACAGCAAGAATTTAGAATAAGACAATATAAAATAAAGTCACATTGAATATTACTGTCACATCTGGTCTGGTGATTCTGTTATGTATTTAGAGATTCTTGATACAAAGAACAATCTGCAATGTTATTAATACTGGCCTGACATCTCGGCTTCAGACACTTTATAACCACCAAAACGTAGCTTCCTTGTGCCTTTTCTATAAATATTGCCATGGTAATTGTCCTGATGAGCTTTCCTCTTTGGAACATAGACTTTATGAATTCAACCGTATTACTAGATTGGCGGTTAAGTCACATCCTTTTATAGTTGAAATGGTTACATGTAACCGTAAGTTTTATGCTAACAATTTCCTCTCTCGAACTTCTCGCCCGTGAAACTTTCTTCCGGCTTCTTGCTTTCCAGTGCACATTGATGTTAAAAAATTTAAATGCAATGCCAATCGTTATTTTAATTCATGTTCTTTATTGTTCTCTCTCTTTAATAATGTTTTGTTTTTCTTTCTTTTTCGCACTCTCTCAGTTAACCGTTGTGTCATAGTGGCTTTATTGTTTGCAAATATTTGAATACATTTTCATAAATTTGTTTCAATAGAAAGAAAAAATCAGGTTGAGACATAATTAATTTCAGTTTGGCAGGAAGCAACTGTAACGACGAATTATCATCCTAAATAACCGTTCGTTAAATACGTCATAAAAAGCGATGAAAAATCGGTTACATACAACGATGTTCAACGTGGATTAACAAGAATAAATCTCCACAACCCACCCTAAAAGCTGAGCTTCATGGAAGAAAGGAACTAATGTGCGTGTGGCGGATTCATTTGGGTATTATTCATTTAGAGTTCTTAAAACGCAAGGAAACTTTAAATGCACATTAATGCCACCAGCAGCTGCAACGTGTCCATAAAGATTTTGTCGAAACGCACCGTGTACTCATCAATAGGAAAAATGTTATTCTCCTCCAAAGCCGAATAGAGCAAGAACACAGAAAAATAATTTTGAAACTCTGTTGGTCCGTTTTATTCCACCCGCCTAATCTTGCACCAACCGATTATTACGTTTTTTCGATCAATGCAAATCGCTTTGACGGGGAAATCTTTCTCTAATGATAACCAAGATTCAAGAGTTCGTTGAAACTTTTCCCCTAAACACTTACGAAATTTTACACAGAAGGTATCGAAGAGCTGCATAAGTGGCTAATGTTGCTAGGAAGCCATTACAAATAATGGGAAATATATAATAAATAAAATGTAATTGTACTTCATTTTTTGACGAATAAAAATGATAGACAAAAACCGAAATTATTTATGACTAATAAAAGTTAAATTTTGTCAAAATACACATGACTTATTCAAAATGTGTTCTTTATTTGGTTAAAATCTGTTGAATAAAATGTGGAACGCAGGTGTAGACAGTGAATCTAGAAAAATCAAGTCTTTAAATATAATCTTAGACATCCAGCGAAATATGGCGTCCGAAAAGTTGACTCATTTTGTTGACGATCGAAAGTGACAGATGACATTTGCCGGATTCGCTTTTTTTTTTTTCTTTTTTTTTTTTTCTTTTTTTTTTTTTTTTTTTTTTTTTTTTTTTTTTTTTTTTTTTTTTTTTTTTTTTTTTTTTTTTTTTTTTTTTTTTTTTTTATTTTTTTTTTTTTTTTTTTTTTTTTTTTTTTTTTTTTTTTTTTTTTTTTTTTTTTTTTTTTTTTTTTTTTTTTTTTTTTTTTTTTTTTTTTTTTTTTTTTTTTTTTTTTTTTTTTTTTTTTTTTTTTTTTTTTTTTTTTTTTTTTTTCTTTTTTTTTTTTTTTTTTTTTTTTTTTTTTTTTTTTTTTTTTTTTTTTTTTTTTTTTTTTTTTTTTTTTTTTTTTTTTCTTTTTCTTTTTTCTTTTTCTTTTTCTTTTTCAATAGACTACGCGAAAACGTAAGGAGAAAACAGCTCGTTTCTTGCAACTTTTTAGCATCAAGATAAAAAAAAAATATTTGGCCTATTTTCAAATTTAAAATAGTCTGTGAAATTAATTGCATACATATTTGACATAAACCTCTCATCTGTGTGAGAATTTGAAAGATCTTGCTACAAAAATTAGAAAAACATGTCAAAATAAACTGGTCGCACAGTATTATTGTTAGGAAACATAAATCAGTAATGGGGAAAATATAAATTCTACAAAAGCGTTCAGGAGAGTCAGTCAAGTCTTGGATTTAGCTGTAATTGATAAAAACAAGATTCAAATTTACGTTATACAATATTATTCTTACTTAAGAAATCGCAACACAATGTTATTAAACTTGATTATTATATTGGGTAGAAAATATTCTACTATTGGATGGGGGGGTAATAGTAATATTAACCGTTCCCCTACAAGGAAACACTCGACATTCATTGACTTACTGTCAGTTGAAATTTATAAAATCTTAATCTTAAAACGGTTGTTTCCAGAAAATAAGTTTCTCAAGTCCACTGTTATTGCTCTTTCCTGTATTGATGCGGTTTCATTCCTTGCCTTTTGTTTGGGCTAGAGGGGGAGTCAGCATTTTATGTCCTTTATTCTCTCTTGAGTTTCATGTGCTACCCGTTTTAGTTCCTGTTGTAAGTTCTCGAATGATGTAATTTCTTTTATCTGGTACAGTTCCTTTTGATTCTGTAACGCCAGTTCCCAAGGTTTGATGAAGGATGGTCCTTGTTGAGAGCTAGACGCATCACTTGAAGCCATTTTTGACCATCGATCATCTGAGAAAACGGTTGTATGTAGCAGACAGTTTAGATATTTGTGAACAAGTTTGGCGCCATGGTCATTCATGGCGCCAAACTTGTTCACAAATATCTAAACTGTCCATAGGAAAGTTTCGATCTGCCGAGTCTATTTAAGAAACATATCTCGAGTTTTTTTATTTTTTAAATTTGAAATGAAATTAACTTTGCTGACTCTGGACCGTGCTCAGAATTGTTCTGTCCAGCTAACATTAAACGTTTTCGCAACTCTACAGATATGCTGCATTTTCATTGGGAGATATGTAATGTGTCGACGTTACTGTAAAGTTATCATAAACAATTTTTGACCCCCTTCAAAATTAACCATTCATCCACAAAATTATCTCAGTGTTGTTGTAACTTTACGAAATACTGTGATGTAACGAATATGCATACACCTGGGTCTCCCCTCACAGTAATATGACTGGCTGGTGTCAGCCATAAATACAGATTGATGTGGAGGTACAGGACGACGCCTATTGCTTTACCACTACGACGAGGACCAGTCCATTACGGTTACCTGTTAGATTGTCCTACTCGGTTACAGTAGTCCAAAACCACTTTACTACTTCGAACAAATATATCCCTTTCCGGACATATCATACTGTAGCTGAAAAATGCCTCACTGATCAAATAATGTCTATATTTTTCCTTCACTTAGCATGGTTTCGAATGTTAAAAAATACGATACGAAATTTTATAATTGAGAATCATAAATTTAGATGATGAATGATCGTTCCAATACCTTTCGGGTATTTATTATCCACTTTCGGTTTATCTAATATAAGTCAACGTATTTTCAACGTTATAAGATAACATTGCGGGCACGTTGTGGGTTGTCTGCAAAGAAAACATTTTTGCAACTTCATTTTGTCAGCTGGAGCGGTGCTCCAGTTTAATAGTATGTTTAAGCTCTATAATAATGATATTAATCATGATATAAAGAATAAAAAAAAACATTATAAAAGATAACCCTTATATCAAAAATATCTAAATCAGAGTTTCCGAACCCGGGCGATTTCAAGTGTTGAGTGGGTGATGAGCAGTTGAACAGAAAAATGGTGGGCAGTATAGGATTTTGAGTATTAAAAGGTAATTCAACATATGCAACTCGAAAAAAATATTCAGGAGATATGCAAAGAACCTGTATAATAATAATAAATAAAACTAGGGGCTAATTGAGAATAACTGGGTGACATTTCTAGACAAGATATAAATATCCCCGCAAACAACAAACATTTTTTTTTTTTTTTTTTTGTATTTTCCATAGTTTTGAGAAGCATTATTAACATTCAAATAGGTTTTCAGACGAAATAATATATTTTTTCGGATATAAATCAGGTAAAGGAAGATAACAAAAAATACTCGCGGAATTTTTATTAGTTGCTAGTAGTGTATATTCTTTTGGATTTTATAATTATGAACAAAAATCGCTTAATTTTTTTTTTGTCAACATTTATAATACTAACCGTAATGATAAAACTAACTCATATATCTCCAATAACCAAGTTCCTTTTTTCTTTAATACGGCAGCAGCCGCTGCATATGCAACGTTATTTGTTACCTACCTTATGTATTTTTTTAGTAAATCGTAAAGTCATTCTGTGAACCAGTAGTAAACTTTAACCAAACAATTTTGGCACGTTTTTTTAATCTTTACTATGCAGGTGAGCAGTGGAATTTTTTCCCATATGAATGTGGGCGTTGACGCAAAAAAATGTTTGGGAAACCCTGATCTATATCAAGAGTAGAAAGTTGGTTATGTGAATCGCTTTGATGTGTGATTTCCTCAAGCGAACAAATTTGTTGGATAGTAATTATGTGAGTTTCTCTATTTAAATATAACGTCTATGCTAATTCTTTAAACAAATTGTGACTACGGATATAACAAAAGCAACAATCGACGAAAACTGTCTGATCAGAATTAGTTTAAAAAAGAATGCATCTTTTTTTCTTTTTCTTTTTTTTTTTTTTTTTTTTTAATTTAATGAGACAATCTTCCCAACCGTAGTTATGATATGGTTGAGAATCTTGCCTTATATTCTAGCGAATTATCGGAATGTTGTCGTATAGGTAAGTTCAATTCTTCTTCCGACTTTCAAACTTTCTAATCACATTGAAAAGCCCAGCGGGGCTATACCAATTACCCCGATAAAGATAATGACAATCACAGTCATTCTTTTCATTTTTATTTTTCAATTCTCTTACAAAGCCAATCTAATTTCCTAGTTTTTCATTTACTTTCAGCGATCTCAACGAATGGCTCTTTTATTCTGGATTCAGAAAAACAAAATTTTCAAGTCCAATATTTAAAAAAAAATTGATTTTGTTCACATGGTTAAATTACAGTTGTTTGCATAAAGCGGGAAAATGTTTTCGATTGTAAGATTTTATTTTTCTGAGTGAATATTGTAATAACAATGACTTTTCTAGATATAAGTTCTACTATTTAACCCATGCCTAGAGGGAGGGGTGGTTTCATATATTTCCCAAAGGTATTTGCGCGTAAGTGAATTTAACGAATTGAACTGGAATTCGAACTCTGCTCTCCGATTTCTAATTCCGAACCGCTATCTATTATATTCTTCGCACGTCCAAATCGTTGTGTTAGGAAAATAGTGTTGTGTCGCTATCCCAAATAGAAAGAACTTCTTTACTTTGAAAATTAATATTTTAAATTAGATTTTTTTTTCTAGCAATGTAGTAAACACTAGCATTGTTGAGGAATATGCATTAAACAAGGACAATAATTCAATTCCGCGGAAATTACATACATGCTGCAATTTTTCAATCAACTCTTCTGACCAGCGATTGTAATATCCAGGAAACTCCCAATCAGTACAAGAATTGTGAGATTTAATTATATTTATTACTATCAATCTTCTGTCTCATGAGATCGAGCACTTTAATTGCAAAGACCACTTTCCTTAAAAACGTTATCTTCCATAAATAATGATTGACACTTTATTGGACGAAGCGTAATCTTTGTCAGTGTTTATCTCTTTATAATCTGTTCCTAAAGTATCTAGGCGTTTAGCATTAATAAAAAGCAGCAAATAGCCTAACTAATATAATGAAACTTTATGGAATAGAACACACTGTGCCCCTTTCACTTTCCAAAACTGTCTGAAAAGTTCTCTTTGGACATTGCCATCAACCGTTTCACATTGTTCTCTTTAATCTCGTCCAAGGTGTTTCAATAACGGTTTAAGTTTTCAAATATGCTGAGTTGCTAGGAGATTAATCTGATATTTATGTGGAGCTGGAAGATCTTATTTTCGAAATACAATAAAAAAAACAACAGAAAAAGAATAATATACTCGTTTAGTGTTAAGGAATGCAACATCCAAAATGTATACAAGCACTCTCCTTTGATTCACAAATTGTATCAAGACCGCGTAACCGTTTTGAGAGTAATTCAGTGGTTGAATACTTTTAGAACAGACCAATTTCTTAACCAGATGTCCTCAGTCTAAACACAAGTAAAATCCCAATTATTAACTTAGTATAAACATTAACAAATGTACTCGCCAACAGGATAGGCGTGCATACAAATGTCCATCACGTGCTTTAGTAAAGCGTTGTAGTTTTGCCAATAAAAACCCAGAAATAATTTTCTTTTTTCTTTTCTTTTTTTTCTTATTTCTATTTTTCTCTTTTTACTTTTTTTTTATTTATTTTTTTCCTTTTTATTCTTTTTTTTTTCTGTTTCTTTTTTTTTTTTTTTTTTATTTATTTTTTTTCTTTTTTTCTTTTTTTCCTTTTTCTTCTTTTTTTATTTTTTCCCTTGTTTTCGTTTTTTCTTTTTTTCCCCTTTTTTAATTTTTTCTTTTTTCATTTTTTTCATATTTTTTTGTTTTTTCGTTGTTTTTTTTCATATTTTTTTCCTTTTTTCATTATTTTTTTGTTTTTCATATTTTTTTCGTTGTTTTTCATATTTTTTCCCCTTGTTTTTCATATTTTTTCCCCTTGTTTTTCATATTTTTTCCCCTTGTTTTTCATATTTTTTCCCCTTGTTTTTCATATTTTTTCCCCTTGTTTTTCATATTTTTTCCCCTTGTTTTTCATATTTTTTCCCCTTGTTTTTTTTTTCCCTTGTTTTCATTTTCTTTTTTTTCCCCTTGTTTTTCATATTTTTCCCCTTGTTTTTCATATTTTTTTTTTCCCTTGTTTTTCATTTTTTTTTTTTTCCCCTTGTTTTCATTTTTCTTTTTTTTTTTTTCCCTTGTTTTTCATTTTCTCTTTTTTTTCCCCTTGTTTTTCATTTTCTCTTTTTTTTCCCCTTGTTTTTCATTTTCTCTTTTTTTTCCCCTTGTTTTTCATTTTCTCTTTTTTTTCCCCTTGTTTTTCATTTTTTTTTTTCCCTTGTTTTTTCATTTTTTTTTTTTTTTTTTTCTTGTTTTTCATTTTCTTTTTTTCCCCTTGTTTTTCATTTTCTTTTTTTTTTATGTTTTTTTCATTTTTTTTTTCATTTTCCCTTTTTTTTTTTCTTGTTTTTTTTTTCATTTCATAAGCTAGTCACGCAACGACAATCTAAAAACTAACAATACAATATCTGCTAAAAAATCTTAAACATCTTTGCATTTTTAAATTTACTGGCTGAAAGCATATCTTAAACATTTGACTGAATGTCTAAAGATCTAATAGAGGAATTATATGCGTCCACAAAGTCCTATGACTGATAAAGATCCGTGATCATTTCAAACGTCATTAAGAGTAGAACAAGGAGGAAATGAGGGCCCCAGGCAAGTTAATCTATTCCTAAACTATGCTCTGCGTGTGTACAAACACACATGTAAAAGGAGCACTAATCATTTAACACATTGACTGTCAGAATTCAATTAGAAAATCTGCCTTCGCACGCAAACTTCATAATAGCAAAAAATATTAGTTGATTTCTAGCTTCAACATAAGTCTTAACTGTTTTCACACTAAAACTATCACTGCAAATAAACTCGTTGCTGGCACCCGTAGAAGAAAATGTCTCAGAAAATAACAAGCATGAGATAACTCGTTGTTGGCAGATTTTATTAAGACGCCGACTACGAGTTATCTTGTGCATGGCAGTCAATGTATTAAGCATTTCGTACCATGTCTCAAACGAATTTACGAATAGAAAGCCGCGACCCTGATTTCAATATACTGGTGACAAGGGGGGGACGTTGCAAATTTAAAATAGAAAATAAGGAAATTGAACAGAAAATACGCTAAGGTGGTAGTAGTTTCGCCTAATACCGCAAGATAGTACAAAACCAAAACATTAAATTAACATCTCTACTCACTTTCTTAAATAGACTCGTCAGATTTCCCATGGATGCTATGCATCGTATCGGTAACATTCGCCGTAAGCATTTTTGCCGTGGGAAAACTCACCTTTTGAATTTTCGCCGTGTAGAATTTTTGTCGTAAGACAATTTCGCCGCATTTTTTTTTTTCGATACCCTTATCTTGAACGTCCTTTTTGCAGTAATGTTCAGTTTCATATGCACAGTACCTTGTTATCAAGTATATTTTAATTATATAACAAAGTGGTATTTTAAATTGTTTAAATTTTTGCGTTTGATGAATTGAATATCACTTATACCTTGAATTAAAAGGTGGTGTGTTGTTATAATGTTATGTTCAAATATAAAAAAGTATAATTTCAATATTTAGGTAGTTATAGTGAATTTAAAACAGTTTACGTTTGCAAATAATCTGTGTAAATTTAAAAAAAACTGAGTTTGAAAAGGCTATCTTTCTTTGAACAGGTATTTTATATTGAAGTTGATTGTGTATTCAAGCTTTAAGTTCGTTTGAATTAATATATATTGCTTGAGTGAGAATTAATGCCAGCCTGATATTATGTTAGCAGAAAGTTGAACGTTAAGTCTGAAATATGAAATTGCGTGACGTAGGTTCGATGTCAAGTTGAAATGTTTTATGCTCCTCACTGACGAGGATGAATGATGTAGGATTTTGATCCTATAACTTCGCTCATTAAAACGTTTAAATCGAAGTAACAACTGTGTGAGCCAGATATACTTGACAGAAAGGTTCTTCACATTTAAAAAAAAATGCGGCGAAATTGTCTTACGGCCAAAATAAAGTGTCGTTCCAGAGACATTAGATAAAGAATTGGTCAGTATAAGTAGTACCCTACAACGTAACAACTACCCTGGGTACATGGCAGCAGCCAAAAAAAACTGGGATAGGTGAGTACAAGAGGAGGACAAAACCACTCAGAAAACAGTCTGATAACCACTTCACATAAGGCAGGCAGAGAAAATACAAAGGATCTGTGGTCCATATAACATCAGGACAATCTTCAAAAACTTAATGACACTTCGCAGATATCTCTCCCGAGTGAGACCCCCATAGAGGAGAACATGACTAAAGACTGTGTGTACGCTATCCCGTGCAGCTGCGGAAAGGAATATAAAGGGGAGACCCTTAAGGTAAGGCTTCAAGAACACCAGAAAGCTGTAACACGAGCAGAAGTGTAAAAATCATGCGTGGCTGACCACATATGCAGAGAGAAGGAAGATCACCGCCCTCTGTGGGATCAAGTTTAAATCATAGTCAAAGAACACCAATGGAAAATTCGTAAACTTAAGCAATCAGCATATATGCTAGGCTACAAAAATCTCCTGAGCCGACCAAGCATAGAAATGAATACAATATAGTAATAAGGAGTACCAGAGAAAAGTGATAATAACAGCAAAAATTGCATTATGAGCACTGGTAAAAATTGTTGCTGAAGACATTAGGTTTATAATAACCAGAAATTCATACGCAGATGTCCTCAGGACACATGGCACAGTGGATAAAGGTGTTAGTTAGATCCAGTGACAGGACCAAAAGAGGGTGAGTTCAATACCCGGTTAAGGTTTTGGAGAACTTTCAGAGAAATTAACAGGATATACCTGATAACTGACACCCATTAAACATGGCATGTGGACCTAGAACAGTCTACCCCAGTGAGCGAAATAAAGGGTTCAGTTCGACATTCCAACCACCTAAAGAAGGCCGAAACGTTGTAATAAATATGGCGACAGAGATGAGGACAATAGTCCAAATAATGTAAATAATGTACAGAAATATTCAGAGTATACTGAGGCAAATATCTGCTGACTATGATTATCACTGAAGACACCATTACCAATGTCTAAGTTCTACATAATCTACAAAATGCTGTCAACGATGTCGGGCTCTGTTAATGCCTCAAAAGCTGTATTCATAGGCTTCAACAAGCAAGGTTCAATACAAACTGTCTCAATTGAATCAATAAAATCTGTCGAATCTTTTGTATTCCTAGGAAACGAAATAGATTCTACTGAAAAGGATGTGAAAATCTGCATACCTAAAGCCTGGGTCGCCTTGAATAAAATAATCTGACCTAACAATCAACCTCAAGCGAAGATTCTTGCGAGCCACTGTAGAGGCGGTGTTAATGTATAGTGCCACTGCTGGAAAAGTTTACAGTTCGATCACTTGCATTTTCACGGTATACACACTTGATAAATATACGCATTAGAAAAATAAATACACAAATCGTCGTCAGATGAGTTTCGACTTAAAAGCACATTGCAAATCAATGTGATTTCTCATCTTCAGATTGGCTGGTCAATACCGAATATATCTTCTGCTCATGCCCATTGATGTTTCTTCAACATACACAATACAATTCGTGGAGTTATGAAGATAGTGTTTTGTCACTATTCCAAATAGAAAGAACCCGTTTGCTTTGAAAATCATATTTTAAATTCTAGCCATTTTCTTAGCTCAAACACTACCAGTGTTGAGAAATATGCACTAACCAGAGACAATAATTAAATTATATATTCACTATTCTGAGTTCTGCGGGAATTACATACATGTTTTAATTTTAAAATCAATTCTCCAGACGAGTGATTGTAATACCCGGAAAACTCCGAGTCGAGACAAGATAAGTAAGCATTTAATTTTATTTATTATTAATATTCTGTCTCATGATATCGAGCACTTTAATTAACATTTTCCACTTGAAGGCTGTTGTAGAGTAATTTTCACAGTGGAAGCTTGTATTTCACTAAGTCGGTCCTAAATTAGGTTCGACATACAAAACGTTAGGAACTTGAAATGATAGTTAATGACGCAGCAATCTAGTTGTGGGGCTCATACTTTAATGTCCGACATCGACTGACTCACACAACTCACTCAGCTTCACTGGCGACTGCCACTACTACTCCTTATCTGTGGGAGAGTCTATTTACAATAGAAATAGGTACGTTCCGGTATAACAAAGGCACATTGTAAATCAGTTTGATTTTTCATCTTCAGCTTGGATAGTCGTTACCAAGCATACACTTCTACTGAGGTTCATTGTTTTTTCTTCAACACTCACAGAGCCAACATGTGAATTATGCTGTAACAATGCAGACCAAACCTAAGTTACATTTCAAGAATATGCACATCTAGGATCATATAGGGTTTGAATTTAGAGTTCACCTACTCTTATCCTGGTTGCCAACCATGACTAGAGAATTCTGTACGTCCCTATATTTAACCCATAGCTGGGAGAAGGAGAGATGGATTGAAAGGATATTTATGCGAAAGTGAATATAACGATCTCGACTAGAATTCGAACTCGGCTAGTCGATATCTTGTTCCACGTCTCGAAATATTACAGCACATTCACATCCAAGTCCGCGGTTAAGGTCGGAAAATAGAACTGTAGCTCCGTGTGGTATACGATGTATGCAGGCGCTCTCATATTTTTGGCAAATGATGTATGCTCTGGAGCAATGGTTAGCACAGGTCGACTCGCATCACGTTCTTAGCGTTGTTTCATGACTGTAGCCTTCTGTCAAATAAAGCTAAATACTGCTTGATTATATGCTGATCATGTGTATACGTATGTGATATATAGGCTCAAACAATAATATTCCATGGCTATAATTTATTACATTGGAATGGAATTTCCGACATCAGACCTACAAATTCAAAAAGTCTTTTCGAATTTGTTGAATTGGATCGTGATTACAATTCCAATGAAATAAATTATAACCATGCAATATTAGGGTTGAGCCTTTTATATTCTTGATCTGTTCTGGATATTGAGCTCTACCGGGATTCTATCCCCTTATATAGAGGGAAATATATATATATATATATATATATAATATGTGTGTGTGTGTGTGTGTGTGTATATATACAACCACACACATTGTGTGTGTAATAACGATAATAAAACAGTTAAGAGTTTCGCACAAATGAGCCGGTGTTAACCAGTACATGTGCTTGCGTTCATACACACGCGCACACCTTTTTCGTGTATTCGGCTTCATTCTTCTTAATATTTCACGCGGTGTTGTGTGGTTTCCTCTCCCTTTTCCTTATCCGATTTCTTCCCATCTCCTATTTTGTTCCAAATCCTCCTTCCAACCCCGACCGACCGCAGCCACCTTACGATATCTACTCCCACTCACAACAACAAACTTTGATTCGCCATGTGACGTCCTCTCTCTCTCTCTCTCTCTCTCTCTCTCTGCCATTAAGTTCTTTTCCTACTCCTACCACTGTTCATTACTTATCTTTTTCCGTTCCCAATGTCACCTAATCCGCTCTTCTCCTCCAGTTCTTGTTAATCCTCCTCCTCCTCCTCCTCTTTGTTGCCTACCCTCTTTGCTGCCTCGGGTTCTGCCATGTGGTCTCCAGGAAAAACAAAAGCGACACGCTAATTAGATCTTCAATGTGATTCCACGTGAGATTTCCAGTATTGCCGATTGCAAATTGAATTACACGAACATTCAGTCGAACGCACGAGCATAAGAGTCTCAGGCAGAAAAAAAAAATGAGGCATGGTGGAGAGTGGGTATTCCAGGAGGAGGATGGAGAATGGAGAAAAAGGGGAAGTAATATTGGAAAAGTTGGTGCATCGCTTGTGGACCTCCATACTTAGAAATAAACGAGTTTTGTTGCAAGTCCTCCTTTTGTGCACGGGAGCCATAACCATCGTCGACCTCATCACACTCACCGTATTTACAAAACCCGCCATCCCCCAGGACCAAAATTTTCAACCATTTCCCCTTAGTCCTTCCCTCATTCTGTCTCTTTCTTTCTAACTTTGTCTTTTCGCTAGTCATCACCTGTTTCCTTTGCCATATCTTTTTTTTAACTACTTTTTCTTTTTATTTCCCATTTCATTCTTTCTCTATTCTTTCTTTCACTCTTCTTTCTTTTTACCTCTATCTCTAGTTTTCTTTTCCTTTTTTCTTTCTTTTCCTTTTTTCTTTCTTTTCCTTTTTTCTTTCTTTTCCTTTTTTCTTTCTTTTCCTTTTTTCTTTCTTTTCCTTTTTTCTTTCTTTTCCTTTTTTCTTTCTTTTCCTTTTTTCTTTCTTTTCCTTCTTTCTCTTTTACTTTTTCCTTTCTTTTCCTTCTTTCTCTTTTTCTTTTTTTCCTTTCTTTTCCTTCTTTTTACTTTTTTTCTTTCTTTTCCTTTTTTCTTTTCCTTTTTTCTTTCTCTTTCCCGCTCTCTCTCTCTTTCTCTTTCTTTCTATCACTCTTCCTCTCTTTCGCTTTCTCTCTCTCTTTCTTTTTTTATTTTCTTTCTTTTTTATTTTCTTTTGTTTTTTGTCTTTTCTTCTTTCTACGTCTTGTGTTGTCTTTTTAAAATTTTTATCGTTTCTTTTCTCTGCCTTAATTCCCCTTCCCCGAAATTTTCACCATATTTACAAATCAGTTATTCCCCGGGATCATAATCTTCCATCATCCCCTCGGTCTTTCCCTTATTCTCTGTCTCTTTCTTTCTCAATTTCTCTTTTCGGTAATCATCACCTGTTTTCTTAGACGTACCTTTTTTTTTCTTCTCATTTTTTTTCCTTTCTTTCTCTCTTTCGAGTTTGGCTTTCTTCTTTCTTTCCACGTCTTCTCGTGATTTCTTTTTATCTACTTTTCTTCTTTACTTGCTTTTTTCTTTTTTCCTCTTCATTTTTCTCTGTCAAAATTCCTCCTTCCCTACATTTTCACATTATTACTAACAGTAGCTACATCATCAGTATTATCACTCTTCCTATTACCATCATGTTTTCTTTCCATCAACATTTTTGTCGTCAGTCTCTTTTATTGTTTACAATTTATTATGTTTTTAACAGAATGTCAGAAATAATAACCGTTGTTTTAGTCGTTATCAATATTATTATTTGCAAGTTTTCACACCAGAAGGAACTGGTGGCTTACGTCGGAGTAAGTCTCCCCAGTACTCTCCTCAGCTAATTTTGGTAATGCTGTCATCGGAATGATTTCTGTTCTTTTCGGAATTTCATTTTGTTCCTCTCCTTTTGCAAGAGAAAGAAAGCCAAACTGGAAAGAAGAAAAAGTAACAAGTAAAACGATCCAGACGGAAAAATGAAAAGAAAAGATGAAAAAAAGAAAATGATAAAATTAGAAAAACATTGAGAAGATGTAGAAAGGAAAGAGAGAAAAAAATAATTTTTTCTTTCTCTTTGCACGCTCGCTAAGAATGTTTCAAGTGCTCTAATAAATCTAGTCAACACTGTCACTTTCATGCTTTCCGAATTTTTTTTCCAGTTTTTTCATCCTGCATTTTATTTCCTTTCAAGTTTACACTGCTGTCTATTGAAACATCGACGACACCAAAGAATTTGTTAATTTTCCTCTTTATAGAAGTGATAAAAAATCTTTTTTTTTTCTTTTCCTTCACTTTTATTAATTACACGTTATATTAGTAATTATTATCAAATTTTTTTATTCATTCTTTTTTATTACTTTTTTTTTATTTTCATTCAACAATCCTTATTTCCCTTCTGTTATTTACATCTTATCTTCTATTTTCCCATTTATATCATCAAGCTAAAAACTTCTGGGTTTTATTCAAATAATTTTAGTAATTTTTCTAATAATTATTCTTTCTTTTCTATTTTTTTTTCTTTTTGCCTATTTTTTTTTTTTTTAGGCGGCAACTTTTTCACTTTTCTCTTCTTTACACGATTTGCTTTCAATTTTGTTCGATACTTTTTTATTCACAATTTAATCGTTATTTATTCTTTCGGTGGCTTCCCGTTTTTTCCTGGGATTGCTTTTTCTTTCCAACATTTTTGCACAGTTTATTTTCCTTCTTCATGACAATTTGATCAGATTGAAACCTGTTTTCTTTGTCATCACGTATGTTTTCTAATTACTTATAATTTGTCTCCTCTTCCCCTTTCCTCTGTTTTTTTCTTTCTTCCCCTTTCCTCTGTTTTTTTCTTTCTTCCCCTTTCCTCTGTTTTTTTCTTTCTTCCCCTTTCCTCTGTTTTTTTTCTTTCTTCCCCTTTCCTCTGTTTTTTTTCTTTCTTCCCCTTTCCTCTGTTTTTTTTCTTTTTTCCTCTGTTTTTTTCTTTCCTCTGTTTTTTTTTTCTTTCTTCCCCTTTCCTCTGTTTTTTTTTCTTTCTTCCCTTTCCTCTGTTTTTTTTTTTCTTCCCCTTTCCTCTGTTTTTTTTTTCTTCCCCTTTCCTCTGTTTTTTTTCTTTCTTCCCCTTCCCTCTGTTTTTTTTCTTTCTTCCCCTTTCCTCTGTTTTTTTTCTTTCTTCCCCTTCCCTCTGTTTTTTTTCTTTCTTCCCCTTCCCTCTGTTTTTTTTCTTTCTTCCCCTTCCCTCTGTTTTTTTTCTTTCTTCCCCTTTTTCGTTTTTCTCTCCTTCCATGTCTCCTTATTTAAACTTCCTCTTTTTTCATATCCTCCTTTTCATGTTTCTCTGTTTTTTACTGTCCCCCACTCTTTTCTCTCCTACTCTTTTCCTGTTTTTTTTTTTTTACACTTATTTTTTCTCTTCCTTCTTTCTTATTTCTCTTTCTCATCCCTCCTTGTCGTTTTTCCTCATCCTTTTCTTATTATTTTCTCGCATCGACCTATTCAAAACCATTCGGACTCATCTGATATCAAATTCTTTGTCTCTTTTTTTCGTTTCCTTTTCTTCATTTTACTCCAGGATATATTCCAATTTCATCTTATTTATTTATATTACAGCTTACCTTTTTCTCCTCGTATTTCGAACCCTCTCAACCTTTCTTTTGTTTATTTTTTACCTTCTTTTGCACTCATTTTCCTTCAGGAACCTTTTTTTCACATCTATCGTATTGTGCACCGACTTCTTTTCATCGTTTCTCTTCCTCATATTTTCTTTGTTCAAGCGTCAAATTCAAATCATTTATTTTATTTCTTTTATTTTCTACTTTTGACGGCATTTATTTTTCTATCTTTATTCCTGCATATTATACATTTTTCAATTTTCTTTTTACTTTTTCTTCTTCCATTTTCTTTCTTTGCATACAATTATTCTTCTTCCATTTTCTTTACTTCTCCGTTAATTGTATTTTTCAATTTTCTTTTTCTTCTAATTTTCCTTCTTTAGCTTTCTTCTTCTCCCTTAGTTCTTTTAAATTTTTTTTTTCAATTCTCTTTTTCTTCTTCTCCAAAGTTTTTTTTCAATTCTCTACAATTTTTCTCTCTCATACAATTAATTTTTCAATTTTTAAAAATTTTCTCGAAAGATTTTTTTAAAAATATTTCTTTTAATAACCCTCTCCCAATATCATTCTCTCATTCTCTTCCGATGCTTCTCATTTTCTTCTTCCTTCTTGTAGTTCTTCATCAATTCTCCTGTGCCTGTCACTGTTGTCGAATGGCGAGCATTGGTCGCGAATCACGTCGGCTTAAAAATCAATAGCACTCAACGACCTATTTCTGTTAAATAACACAGCTTCTCTGTTTAGAAGAAAGGACACCAGAAACAACCAAACCTTGATAAACAACCACAACGTCTACAACAATAACAAGAAGTATTTATTTGGAATAAACGTAAAAACTAAACAGAGGCATTTCCAAAATAATACGCATAATCCCAACTGCGCATGCTCACATGTGCATCTGCACACACAGGTGTATGTGCTTATGAATGTATCGTAACATGTTCGTGCATATATAATAACATGTATATATAATATATATAAGTAACATACTACTTAGGCACATGTATAAATATATGAAGAGATGGAAAAGTCAGAATTTCTGAAAGGGATTGTCATTGCTCTTAAACTTACATAAGTTCATTGTAAGAATAACCTTTCGTTGACGTGTATTCACTTGAGAATCAAAAAGCCTCTTTACTTTCTTCTACAGGTAGATAAATTGATAGATGTAGAAAAATCGATGCATGAACAAATGGGTAAGCAGAGATTGATATCGAAAGAGATTAAGATAGATTCATGGATGAAATTTCTGATAAGACTGGAATAAAATGCCACATCTGTCTATATTTCTGAGATGAGGTAGTGTAACTATTTACACTATCTACATTGTTCGGACTAATGTCCTCATCTTTATTATCATATTTCGGTCGTTCTACGCTCCGGCCTTCTTCAGGTAATATACGTTAGAATTTTGAACCGAAGCGCATATCACCTTAAGGATGCCGGAGCGTATAACGGCCGAAACGTTGTGAATATGACAATAAAGAAAAGAACCACAGTTCGAACAATATTAGTAGCGTAAATAAATACTAGATGTTATATAATGTTTTAAGGTATGCTATATTTATGGGTTAAAGTGCTCAATATCAGGGATAGAGCGCATGTAAATATAAAGGTGGACATTGAAGTCATCACCCAGCGGCGTGTCTGTTTCATTCTTATAGGCAATCGTCAAACCGATCGATTGGCCTAACGAGTGCGTAAAGCTTGAAACACTCTTCGCTGGGTGTTGACTTCAATGTTCACCTTTATAACAAGATGTCAATATGTGTTTATCACATTAATAACAAGAAATGACTCTGTATATACAAAGATAGTAATGTACAAGACGAATTCCAAAAACTAACTTACGCTAGAAACAAGGAAAATAGTACTAAACTGCTATGCGATATCTACCCTCCTTTGTGTCAGTCAGTGCTGGTCGATCTTCTCGAAGAGGAGACTTGAAGCAACAGAAATATGGTTCTACAGAAGGATGCTGATGATACCGTGGACTTAACAAGTGAGCAATGTCAATTTTTTTGAGTAAATGGAAACAAAAAGAAAACTAATACTTAACATCAAGAACAGACAGTTGAAGTTTCTGAGGCATATAATGAAGAAAGAGGGCTTGGAAAATTTGATACTCACAAGACAGATGGTAAGATGGACAGAGGAAAACAACGCATAACATACCTAGAGAGCTTGAGTAAATTGATGGCAGAACAAAGCTTAGGAGAAATAACAAAGTTTATTAAGAGCTACAAATAACAGGAAGTTGTGGAGAGCCACGATCGCCTGTGTCTGGAGGGAACATAAAGAAGAAGAATGTACAAAATGCTTATAGTCATGTCGATGATAATGTTGACGCTGTTAGTGATACTAGAATTAATGAACGTGGAAGGGATAATGGTGACGTTGTTTTGGTGGAGCAGTCAACGTGTAAACGAGAGATGTACCGGGACAAACTTACCTCCAAGGACAAGCATAAGTTACACTCATTGGAAGAAATTAGTTCAATTTTCCAAGGCCATGTTTTCAACTAAAAGAGATGAAAAAATAAAAGAACAAATACCAAAAATAAGAGGGTTTTTTTTTTTTTTACGAGGATTGAAATATTGATCCTCTTAAAACCACAATGTATATCCTATTCGCAAACAATTTTCTACAAACTCTTTTTATATCCCCCTAAAAATTAATTTTCCTTGTTTCGAAACTTGCAGGTACAGTTTATTTTTGTGTGAATGTTTACATCTGAATATATATTTATGCGCTAATCGCACATTCGTGTGTCTTTGTGTAAACATGTCTGTGTATGATTGTGTGCCAATGCGTATATATAAGTTTGAGAACGAAGAGAAAGACAGAACGTTTCTGTGTATCTGTTGAAGTGTTGTGTTTCTGCGGGGAAAATTGGATTTAGAAGAAAGAAAAGAAAAAAATAGAGATTAAGAAAATATAGACAACAACAAAAAATACAAAAACGAGGAAAAAGCCAAAGAAATGGTGATACTTTATTAATGGAATAAAGAAAACATTTCTGGTTTATATATATATATATATAATCACTGTATTGTGAGTGTCAGTGTTTACACTGGTTTAATTTTAGTCTATTTTCATTATATTTGACTTTGCTGATATCTTGTTTGCATTGTCTTTAAGGAACATGTGTATATACGTGGGTCGATCGATAAGTCCGTAGCCCAATACGGAGTTATTTTTAATTTTGATGTTAACTTTTTACGGTATAACGTTTACAGTATAAAAAAAGGACTTTGTTGAAAAATATTTTTGCAAAATAAATGTTTTTCCATCCTTAGTCTGCGGATTTAGTGATTTAATTGCGTAATTTTTAACCATTTTATCCCAAGCAACGCGATAATGCCACTAGGATACAAGGAGTTACTGGGAGTGAATGAGAATGAGAAGGCATTAGTGAGGAGAAAGGACAAAAAGAACAGGATTCAGGAGGACAGTAGATAGCAATTGATGGCAGGGAAGCAAGAAACTGAGAGACCGATGGGTGAGAAATGAGAGAAAAGAAACTATCAGAACAAGAGTTACGGTTACATCTAGCTGTTTCAACAGTAAATCTATGAGACCTAGCCGCCAATCTAGTAGTGCGTTTACATTCATGCAAGTAAGTTACCATGGAGGGGAGCTTATTAAAACAATTGTCATGAAAATATATATAGAAAGGATAGAGGAAAACCGCGTCACGGCCGTAGAAAAGTGATTGAAGTCAAGATGTCAGATAACATTAGTGACTCTTCTATGCATTTTGTCAAGAATCTCAGGATCTATATAGCAGGTGCACCAGACCAAATATAGCAGCAATATTCAATTTTCGGGCGAACGATAGATTCATAAATGAGCAAGATGGTTTCTGGAGAGAAAAAATGTACAATAAAGTGAACTAAAATTCTTAGTAGTAAACCTAGCAACTGATTCAATATCATCCTTAGTCTTTATATCAGTAGAAAGCGTGCGAAGTTGTAATGAGATGTAATGTAATGAGATGTTCTCTTGAACGTTAACATCGGACATACTGTTGGAAGGCAAAATGATGGTTAAAAGATTTTCATTTTGGGGGCGTTCACATTTACAAGCCATTATTGTCCCAGTTAACAACTGATCCGAGGTTATTTTCGAGTGCAGCTGTCAGTTCTACTTTTTCGGACCTATTGGACCTCGTATTAAGACAGGTGTAAATAATTGTCATCAACATAAATTCATAGTTGATATACATGATTGTATGAGTTTTTGAATGCACTTACATTTATATTAGGGATATACCATGTGAGTTTTAACATATATTAGCCTTTTTGTACCTATTGTTTCAATAGTGAAACATATTTTAAGACTTTTTTTATCAACTGACCTGAGGTGGGTCAACTACATTGAATCAATAGCTGTATCTACCCCAAGGAAAGTTGGTTCTCTGTGCCGCTCCAGAAGTTTTTTCTCGTCTGGGTCCATCCTTCACATCTATAAATCCACCATTCATCCATGCATGGAATACTGTTGCCATATACGGTCTGGTGCCCCTGCTGTTCATCTCTAGGTTCTCGACAAATTCCAAAGACTGATATGCAATGTGATCGATCCTGACTTGGGGTCTCGACTCTTTCTCACCGACGTAATTTGGCTTCCCTCTGTCTTTTCTATAAATATTTTCAGGGCATCTGCTCTGACGAGGTATTTTCACTGGTGCTCCGACTGCATGAATTTAAGCGTGCTACTAGGTTGGCATTTCGGTTCCATCCTTTTATTGTAGAAACAGTTAAATGTAACTGCCTCTTCTACTCCAACAGCTTCTTGTCTCGCACTTCCCGACAGCCGAACTTCATTGCTCTTCCCTGATAATTATAATCTTCAAAAACTTAAATGTAATGTCAATCGACATCTTCTATTGCTTTGATCCCCGTTCTTCTTTTTATCCTCTTCCGTTTTTTGTTTTTTTGTTTGTTTTTTTTAGCCTTTCCTTAACCCCGCCTCTACCCAGTCATTTCCTTTATTAACATTCTCTGTAGCCCCTTGCGTACTAGTGGCACTCCCGCCTTACTTGGGGTGAAATGCTTAAAAAAAAATAAAAACATTAATTGTATTTTAGCATAATACGCAAGCACATATTTTCTTTTAGTCATTTCCGTGTGTATTACTGATATGACAAAGATTAATGCTCGTCTGATATAAAAATTTCTTAAAGCATATTCCGCTAGTGAAACAATGGACGCTAAAGGGTTAGCAAAAATATATTAACTTCTTTAGGGGAGGGAATCAGGTTTTATTGCGTTTAAAAATTAAGCTGACTCACAAATTTTATATTTTAGAAATAAATCCAAAGTAACAGACACGATTTTGTTATTTGGATTTTATAATTAGGTATGAATCCTCTTCTCCCCGCCCCCCACCAGCTATGGGTAAATAGCAGGACAGGCAGGGTTCTATAACCTTGGATGTCAACTGGTCTACTGCGGGAAAAAATCTGCCTCGTCAGTCATGTATCGAAAGATACATGATCGTCTAAGCGTGTATCACGCATGGCACATAACTGACTGAATTAATCATAATTCTTAAGTTAATGATTGAATAAGCTCTTTTCGAGTTTCGCGACAATAAAATACCCGTGGATATTTTCGTTAAATATGTGAGCTTAACGACTTTAACAAAATATTGCAATAACAATTATAAGTATGACTGCAGTTTATTATTTAAAGATGTAAGAGGGTACAAATGAAAAGATTTGAATTTGACAATATTTCCATTTCACTGAAGCAGACATAAAACACATAAGAGAATTATCGCCTCCAGTCTATTTTCTTTCTTCCTTTTTCTCACTGAAATCAAACAGCGTCTCGTACACGTCTTTTCCTTTTCCCTCGCGAGAACAACGGAATAGTCCATTATTTATGAGGTATTGGCAGAGTGTAACATAAGTGCTAATTATTTAAGGTACAAGCAGAATTACAATATGATTCTAATACGGGTCCCTTGACGTTCTATAACCTTCATCAATCTTTGAATAAGGTGTTTGATTTTCTGGGTAGAGGACATAGTGAATGAGTCTCGTCCAGTTCTATCAGACACACAGTACTACTTTCTTTAAGGACCTCTGGTAGAATTTCCATAAAATATTATGTTCTGGGGGTGTGTTTTCTTAATTTATGCAGTAGCTTCGCAATAAAGTGACTAACGTAACCAACCGGGGTTAATTGATTTTCAGCGTTTGATTTAGATATTTCTAGTATGTATTCCAACTCTTGCATTCCATAACGTTAATTATTCTCAGGTAACGTATTCTTTTGATCGCGATTAAGTTCAATTCGTTCACCCGTATCGTTAAGGATGAAGTCTCCAGTACAAAGCATAGAAGACATTTTTTTACATAGTTTACCATTCCCTCGACTTTTCTATAAAATATATAAATCTATTTTTGCATTTGTGTTACATTTTTACCATTCTTAAAATAAGTTTGCTTCTTTTTGTCGTGTTAGAATCGATAAACCGTAATGGGTCAATTTAAGGAGTTTGAAAGAAAATTCCCGGTGATACAATAAGAAAGCAATAGTTTTAGTTAAATTTATTAAATACATTTAACACGAAACACAGAACCAACTTTTGAAACAGCCAACTATAACTGTAGTTTCTGATATATATATATATATATATATATATATATATATATATATGTAAAAAAAGAGGTTATAGTGGTTCCAACGAGAGAAAAGTGTGTATATTAAAAAGAAGAGGAAAAATAGGTGCCGCAAACGTTTTTGGTTGTAATGTGGATTTTTTTTTTTTTTTTTTTTTTTAATATTATGCTTTATTTTCCATAATTTTACTACACAGGTTTCTGGTCTCGAGACCGTCTTCAGGTAAAAGGCGGAGATTTCCACATATTATTAAAAATAATTAATTTTTTCTTTGTTTTTCAATGTTAAATATTCTCGATATGAGACATTGTCTGTTTCTGTGTTAGTAATCCGAATGTCTTATATATATATATATATATATATATATATATATATATATTTTTTACGCATTCTTTCTCAATGTGTTTTCATTTAAGTTTTGTTTTGTTTCTCTTAACAGATGCACACTCAGTATTTTCTTTCTCTCTTTTCCAAAGCTCTCACACTCTGTTTCTCTCTTTATTGTTTGTTTTCGCACCACCGCCCAATTTCCAGATTCACCGGCAGCGATAGGAATCCACAGATCTGCAATCGTACTGTCTTCACAGCGTGCCTCATGGAAGCCTATCATTCATCTTGTCTCAGCGTCTCCTTCCTCCGGGATGAAGAAAAGACACTTTTTCTGTGTGGAATGTCTTCTATTTCAATAAAACCCCTGTGATAGTAAACCTTCAACATGTACCGACACGTGCACAAATAAACCAAAGATACTCCCATATATATATATATATATATATATATATATATATAGTGTGTGTGTGTGCCCCCACGCATGTACATCAGTAAGTTTGCATTCTAATTTATTTTGCAAAACAAATATTTGTCAACGCACTTAATTCATTGGTAAATGTTAATTAGAGATTGAACATTATACAATACAAATCTCGGATCAAAATTCAGCTTGGTAACAAACAGCGGATCCATTGACGTGTCCACCTCTCTCTCTCTCTCTCTCTCTCTCACTCTCTCATTCTCTCGCTCACTCTCTCACTCACTCGCTCTCTCATTCTCACATCTATATAGGAGGAAGCAAAAGTCGCGCACTATAGGGATAATTTATTAAAATATTATTAGACATGAAAATTTTATTTACTAATTATTTTTTGTATGTGCTGTTCAAAATGTCCTCCTCCTCCTTTTTCAAAACACATTTCAATTCTGTTCCTGCATGATTCATTAACATGTCGTAGAGTTTCCTCTGTCATTTAACTGCATTTATATTTAATTTTTTCCTTAATTTCCTCAAGATTTCAAGGCCACGTCCGATAAAAAACTGATTTCAAATGCCCCCCTCCCAGAAAAAAAATTCAAGTTTGCGAGGTTTAGTGACCTCGGTGGCCACTCAACATACTTCTGTTCATTAACCCCTATCGTATACGACTTTTGCTTCACTGTGTGTGTGTGTGTATATATATATATATATATATATATATATATATATATATATATATATATATCACAAGTATAGGATTGGTGTATACAGTATAAATTCCAATAACCAACAAATACTATTCTTAAAAGAGTGCTCAATACAGAGTAGAGCAAATATAACTATTTATTCAAAAATTATAACATAAATATGTTATAAAATCACTACAAAAATAGCCATTTGTTTCAACACTTCTGGTGTCTTATCAAGTTGATAAGACAGCAGAAGTGTTGAAACAAAATGGCTCTTTTTGTAGTGATTTTATAACATATTTATGTTATAATTTTCGAATAAATAATTATATATATATATATATAGAGAGAGAGAGATGTCTCATTAAATAATTTAGACAAGTTTTGTCTATTTTTAATATGATCCTCTCATATTCACGGAGAAGCTTCTTAGTATCTTCATTAAAAGAAGAATGTTGCCATATTGATGCTTATTCATTTATTCTGAGCACTTTCGACATTAACAAAATTTTATCATCAGGTTCTTGCTTTATCTAAGACAAATTTGTAGGGTTTATCGGAAAATTACTTTTTTATTTGTGACGTGCAAAACGCTAAACTTATATACTGTGCGATTTTAAAATATTATGGTGTAAGCATACACTTGCAGTAAAGTCAAGGGAGCTAACTAAGTTATTAAGATGTCTATCTATTTTATAAAAAAAACTGTTTAAAACTGTGAATATAGCAGTAAAGATGAGAACAACAGTCCGAATAATGTAAATAATTACAATACCTCAGTAATATGAGACAACGTAGTTGTAGTTTGACCAACACAAATATTTTTCTTTTGAAGAAACAGTCAGCCAATATATTTATATATAATGTTGCTTTTCTGCAACACGTTAATATGTGGGGAGGAGTCATTATGAATGATTGGACATATTAAATTTAGTAGAGTATATAATTATTTTTTCTACTCCATCTGTCGTGGATATATTGGTATTTATTAGTTTTAAGATATTTTCATCCTGTTTATAATTTTAATCCATTTGATAGTGATATAAAAAAGTTTAATATAGCTAGGATTATTTGAAGTATTATATTCTATATCCATTATATTCAAATTTAAAGAAAATCATATTTGTTTATCGACAGTAAAATTAGGGAAGTTATTATTAAGAGTTTGTTTTATATTTTTTACTTCACTGTATAAAATCTATGTGGATGAGGTAAATTTGCACGGTTGATTAGATTTTTTTTATAATTCTTATTTTATAGAAATTTGGACATTAAGTGTGCACAAATTTATGCTAGAAAGTTTTTATATGAGGTGATAGTGCATTTATTATTAGTAGTGTTTATCAGTATATCTAGAAGAGGAATTTTATTATTAAGTTCGCCTGTAAGTTTAAGAACTGAATTATTTTGGAATTAATATATTTCATCAATATTTTTGACTAAGATAAAGATATCATCGACATATCTGAGGTAGATTTTATATATATATATATATATATATATATATATATATATATATATATATATAAACTTATTGTATAGCCTAAAATGAGGATTGGGAAGCAAAAGGCGCCTAATATTTAATATGATATTTATTTATAATATATGAATTTTTACAGAGAATTAAAACTGTTACTTAAAATTGGATTTTCAGTGTTTTTTTCTTGGAAAAATAATTTCTTGTTTTTCTTTTTCTTTAAACTTTTTTTTACTTTAACTGGTTTCACTTAGCTTTTCAAAACTTTTTTCACTGTTTCGATCTCCACGTGTTGATGCCTATGTTTTGTATCAATTATAAAAATTAAAATCAAGAGGCGTAACTGGCTATATATATATATATATATATATATATATATATATATATATATATATAATGTATATCGTTTACTGTAATGGGAATTTGGTAGAATCTATTTATGCAATGAATTAAGTATGGGTTTGAAATTGTTGATGAAAAATGTTTCCTTATTAATCCGCCTTTGTTCAGTGGTTCTATAGTCGCACTGGTAGGATGGGAAGACACTAAAATTTGGCAGATATTGTCCTCCGCATTCCTCTATATGTTGACTAAGGGGTATTTTTCTGGTGTGGGGTTCCCTAATTTGTTGGCGATGAACTATTACCCTTTGCCGCAGTGACTGGCCGGTTTGGCCAATGTAATGTTCGTGGCAATCTTTATATGTAATTATGTATATTAAATTCTTTGAGTCGCACGAGAAATCATTTTGAATTTTGATCCGTCTTTGAACAGAAATTCATGGTCCTGTAATAGGGAGTTGCATACTCCACAAAGTGGTCAGTTGCATTTTTTCACCTGAGGGTCTTTAATTGGTTCTGCAATTTTGCACTGTTCAGCATCTTTTTTAGTGATTTAGGTTGTCATTTACTTTTTATGATTGGATGTTTTTGTAATAGGCTTTTTTTTTTTGTTTCTTAGAATGTGTGAATGTTAATTTTTCAACAGTATTGTTGACCAAACATTGTGGGTATTTTCTCTTGATGAGTTATTTTTTATATTTCATTTCTTCTAGTCTGTGACCACTTGTGGTTGTGTTTATACCATTGTACATATCTGCTTGGCTAGGTTGAGTGGACTGTTGGTACGAGTGTGTTTCAGGTGAGATGTAAAAAGGAGATACTGTCGAGAGTCGGCTTAAAGTATATGACAGTTTCTAGTTTAGTGTTTGTTTTTGTTATTAATATGTTTAAAAATGGAAGTTTTTTTGTTGCTCTACTCCATAGTGAATTGGATGCTAGGATTTATATTATTAATGGATGCTTAGAATGTCTTTAATTTATCCAGACTTTCATTCTACAAAATGAAACCGTCATCTAGATATCTTTTCCAGTTTTCTTTTAAGTTGCAACTGAAATCATTCCCATAGATTTCCGAGGTTGTCATAGATTTTTAGTTCATGGTATCTCATGACTAGGTTGGCATATGTTGGTGTAACATTTGTCCCCATGACTGTTCCTGATTTTTGTCGGTAGGGCGTTTCGTTGAACACGAAATAATTGTTTTTTTAAGATGAATTATAGGCTTTCTATTACGAAATTTTCATTGATACGATTTGGTAGCTCATGGTGAAAATTTTCTAGACAGTATTTTATAACCACTATTCTGTAGTCATGTGTGATGTTGCTATATAAGTTTACCACATCCATTGAGACCGTCTAAGTATTATGGTTTATCTTTTTTGGGAAAATGATTAAAAACATCTAGATCATCTCGAATGAAGCTCCGAACGTGTTTGATAAGAGGTTTTATATATATATAAAATATATATATATATATATATATATATATATATATATATATATATAATGTTATTATTATTACAGGTAATAAATCCGTTGTTATATAATCCATGTAGATCTTAATAATGAAATGTTAAAACTGATCTACAAAAAGAACTCAATGTATAGTTATAAATGCATATAAATTACATAATGGAAAAATCCAAAATGACCTCATGAGAATAGACTTTCAACTACCCAATACGCTTGCAGTTTTTGACTCAAATTGTGGACTAATACAGAGTTAAAAACTTAAAATTAAATATTTAAAAAAAGGTATACAGCCGTTGAAAATATGAATTTGAGATAACCAAACAAAACGCCTGAAAAAAAACTCTAAAATTAAAAGTAATATAAAAAATTAACATATAGTTAAAAATATATAAAAGAATAATTAAAATTTATGATTAAAAATTATTTTAAAAATTTAAAAGATGAAAAAACTGATGAAGTCAAGAAAAAAATTATATAAAAAATAATTAAAAATAAAGATAGAAATATTAATCCTATGCAATTTTAAAGATAAGTTAAATAAATTACTAAGAATACCGACCATACCCAGGATAAAAAAAAAACAAAAAACCTTAAAAATACTTTAAAAATTAAAAGGATAAAAAACAAAGAAAAAAGGAGTTCATAAAGTAGTGGAAGGTTATCAAATAAGATTAATGTAGAGAAGATAAAACTATAGTAAAAGGTATAACATTGAATGGGTTACATAAGTAAAGATTAAGTAAGATCAAGAATACATTAGATATGTTTAAACCTACTTCTGTGACGACATTTGGAACTAATTCATTCCTTTGATTTAATAGTTTGCTTTAATTATTGAATTTAATTATTCTAACTTTCTCTTCTAAACATAGTTCATAGCTATTCTTAAGATTAGGAGTATGAGCAAAACCTATAATTTTCCAGTCAATCTAAGGGTTCAGGCGTTTCTCGTTCAATTCCCAAAATTTTGTGGAACGTACTGTCTGGTATTTTAATTTTGGGTTGGAAAAGGTGTGCCTATGGTTGTAAAGTCTTTGTTTCCATTCTCCCTCAGAAAATCTAATGTAAACATTGTGATTTAACTTATTTTCTTTAGGGTAAATAGTTGCTTGGTTTATCACCTTCGAAACTTTGCATTTTCCTTCAACTGGACAATTTTCACTAATTCTACAATTACAGGGGGTTTCCATACTAGGTTTATTGTTATTCCTATAAAATTTACTTAGAATATAGTTATTATGAGAGTTGATAATTTTGTACATGTTATTGGTGCAGGAATAGCTTATTTTGACCGTTTTCCTATTGAGATCTTACTTAAAGGGTTGTTTTTCTGAAAATGTTTATTTATTAACTTCAGAAAATGCTGTCCAATATTAGTATTGGATAATTTTCAGAAGTTGGTGGTGAACCATCTAATATTTTAGATAGTTCAGTGTTAGTTATCGGCTTTAAATAGGATAGTTTATTTTTAAAGTCAAACTTTTATGGAGAGCATTTTCATACAATTCTTTATTTTTATTAAAGTTATTTATGTTTGACGGAAGTTTTCTAATTCTAGTGCCAACAGTAACGGGTATCTGTTTCACAAAGGCATAGTGGGGGCGGTTAGAATCAACATTAATATAGTTGGTGGTTTCCTGCTCTTCATGGTAAGGTTTAAAGGTATTATTATTTAGGTTAAGGGTGATATCTAGATAATCTACTATTTTGAGGTTAGAAGCAATCTCAATCATAAACTCCAGTAACTTGAAGGCTCTAATTATTTTCTTCTGTAAATTCACAGTAAGTGGACGATTGCAATTGGGAACAGAAATGATTTCATCATCTCTATATAGGCCTACTAATTTAAGATCTACAATTCTACTAAGTATATCTAAAATATAGAAACAGACTAGATCGGCAACCTTGGCTGAATCATATGCACCCATAGGAACATCAAAATCGTCATTCCAGCACTTAATCCAGGAAGAATTGTTAAGTGCTAACAGGGATTTCCTAGCAGGTAAGATGATATTAATCTCATCATCCGTTATCTCTGTATGTTTTTTTGCAAAGTTGATACAATCATAGAATGTTTTTATTTATTTTTTTTTTAATATAAACTATCTAATTAATATTTATAGTTAATCTTAAATGATTTGCTAGCATATTTTGGTATTTTTAATGGTAACAATTTTTTTTTTTGTTTTTGTTATATAACTAATAATTTATTATTTCGTTTTTTAAATTTCTTTTTTCTGGTCACATTTTTATTTCCTTTCGAATTTTTTTTCATAACCCCAACTTGGGATATTTGAGTTTTTTGAGGGTCAGATTTTGTGAAAACTTTTTCCATTTAAGCCAGACAACCTCTTACCACTGCTCAGGCGTTTTGTTTCGTTAGCTCAAATTCATATTTTCAACGGTGTATCTCTTTTTTTAATCAAATGTTTAATTTTAAGTTTCTAACTCTGTATTAGTCCACCATTTGAGTCTAAAAATGCTAGCGTAGTGACGCTAGTTGAAATAGCTTATTCTCATGAGGTATTTTTTGATTTTCCATTATGTAATACACACACACAAATATATATATATATATATATATATATATATATATATATATATATATATAATGCGAATATCACACGTTTTCAACTTTACTCCTAGAGGCCGTAGCCCAACATATCATACCATTTTGGAATCAGGACGACCCTGTAACCAAATCAAAAGTTTTCATTAATGCCATTGTTCTCCGTGATTGTTGTGCGACAACACTCTTTACAGCGTAAAAAATAAATTTGGGAGTAATGGAAATTAATTGCGAAATCCAGCGAAAATCATCAATGAAATTAAAATAATTACTTTATCGAAAGTAAGGACCTATGTACATCAAATTAAGTAACGCCAGAAGAATTATTGTTTAACTTTTAAAAGGTAAGTTTAAATATTAATGCTGCGATCAATTTTGAGTTATTCGGTAGTTTATTGTTGCCTATCGCATATACTCTTTTCTGTATATTGCGATGAAAGCCCAATGAAGGGCTCTCCGCAGGAGCTAGCTTAAATGTCGCCCGATATGGTGGCTTTTCAGTGTATGTAATATATATATATATATATATATATATATATATATATATATACGCACATCTCAGTATATACATAAACACTGGTTTGGTGCTAGTATTTTTGTATTTCCCACCAACATCTGAGGTCGGTGTTCTAATCGAGATAATGCCAGGAATTCGAAAACTGATTTTCAAAGCTGGGCAGCCAAGCTTTCCCTCCCGCCTATGATGACTGGTCCAGCGTGATGCGTCTCTCTCTCTCTCTCTCTCTCTCTCTCTCTCTCTCTCTCTTTTAGATCTTGTGGCTGAATATTTTAAGTATCTACATTGTTTTCTCACTTCGAGCACACACAAATACACGTTATCAAGCTCATCATCTAATAAATTCACAGGCAAAAGTTACAAAACACACACACACACATTTATAATATATATATATATATATATATATACACACAGTAAACCCGAATATAAGAGAGTTGTCGGGACCGGAGAAAAAGTCTCTTATATCCGGGTTTGGTTTATTTTATATACATTAACACAGGCTCTAATTTGGAACCAGAGAAAAATCTCTCTTATATCCGGGTTACACTGTGTGAGTATATATATATATATATATATATATATATATATATATATATATATACATGCATTAGCAAATTCTCGAGGGTATTCAGTAATCTTTGAATATTATAGTTTTCATATTCTCTTGTCACTACCCAGCAGTATATTTAGGTGTTTGAGGCAAATTTATTGACTTTTTGTTTTGTTTTTATAAATGGTTTTAAATTAATTGGCTTACACTGATATTAAGAATTCTGAGTTTTTAATCCAATTTTATTTCCTTTTCTTTCTTTTAGTTTTCTTTGTTTTTTCTTTCTTTTTTTCTTTTTTAAAATTTTTTCGTTATTCTCTCTCCCTCTCCCCGCCCCCGGCAGTTGTCTTTTGTCTAACATTAAGAAGTAATCCCCCCACTCCCAAACCTATCAAATTTATTCACAGAATTATATACACGAATAAATCCATCCATACATACATACATTCATTCTCATGGTAGCCAATCGACATTTGATAAGATAGCATAAAAAGCCGTAGCACATGCGTTTAAATCCCAGCCATACAGCGCTTAGCTATCTGAAAGTTGAATGATAAAATACGTTCTTTAAAAAACGCTGAGAGCCAAATATTGCTGTTTGTTTATGGAACTCCTTTCGTACATCTATCAGAGCAGATGTGTTCTGTAGTTGCTATCATTTTTATCTTGTATCGGTCTAATTCAGGCCAGTTTCAGAGCATACGGATTCACTTCTTAGTGTTTCAACTGGCATCCTTTCGTCACATATTAAAGATTATCAAAGAACTAATAAATGTACTCCATTCTTGTTCTTTATGGATGCCTTTGTTTTTTTGTTGTTTTTTTATTAATACTATTCTTTATAACAGATTTCTTATGGTGACGAATAAGAAACAACAGTCTTACCTTGAGAAATAATTCACGTTCTCTGTGCTGTTTGTCTAAAAAGAAAACCAAAATTTAGTCTACTTCAATAAAACCTCGAAATATGTTTGTTTTTGTTTGTTGTTTTATTTTTGTGCCTGCCTACCAATCTTGACCAATCAAATACTTCGTTACCCCCGATAAAAGAACGCTTCTTTGAGTGACAGGAAGATTGAGAATTCTCCGTCAGTGAAATTGGCAGTTGTATGCTACAATTCATGCATACGGACATTTTACCTTTTATTTCGGACTTGCAAGACTGATTTATAACCTTTGGAATTAAAATTTCTGTGATTTCTGATTTTGAATCTGAACTCCTCACTGTTATTAACCTACAGTTCTTGTTTCTTTATTATTTCAAAATTTCGCAGTTTTCCTATTTTAATATTCTTATGAATCTTACTTATGTTAATGATTGAATAAGCTCATAACGAGTTCCAAGACGACGGAATATCCGTAGAAATTCCTCTATCACATCGTTAACTATTTGAACTTAACAACTTTAACAAAATATTGCGATAACAATCATAAACATTAATGCTGGTCGTTATTTCAGAAGTAAGGGGGTATAAATGAAAATATTTGAAATTGACAACTTACCAATTTCACTGAAACAGACGTTAAACAATACTATCTTCCCATTCTTTCATTTTATCACTGATAGCGTCTCTAATATGTCTTTTCCTTCGTTTCACGCTATCAAAACTTATTAGGTATTGGTAGGACGTACCGGTCGCGCTAACTAAAGGAAGGACAAGCAAGTTTTTAGTAAGTTAGTAACATTTTACTTATTATTATTTTTCAAAATAGCATCATTGCGTTTTTATACTTCAGAAGTGAATTTTTGCCTCTTTTATATTTTTATAATAGCATTTTCCTTCTTTATTATTCCACAGGATGGCTTTTTGCGTTTAGTATAGTTTATAATGAAATTATTGTTTCTTTATTATCTGACCTAATAGCTTTTCTTTTTTATTACTATTTATTATAGAAACTTTTTTTAATTATCCTTTATAATATTATTTTCCTTCATTACTATTCTTCATAATATCAATTTTGTTTATTTTCACAGTAGAATGTTTGCCACTTTATCATTTTTATCATTTCATTTCTTTCTTTAAATATATTATACACTGTTTCTCACATCATTAGGCAGCTTCTTCGTGCGAAATTTAGATTAAAACTTATTTGTTCTGAGCAGATGTAAACAAACGACAGTTGTTTGTATCCTTAATTTCAATATTCAGGTTATGATATTCTCAAGTTAATAACCAGGTTTCAAGCTTTAAAATGATCCAATAGAATTGAGATTATTTTTTATGATTTATAGAAACAGAAAGACAAGTTATTAGGTTGGTGCAAAAATAATAACGTAATAATGTCGTTTTTGACGTATTTTTTAACGACAAAAAACGACATTATTACGTTATTATTTTTGCACCAACCTAATACTTAAATTTTCTAATGAGTGATGACCCTAAACTAATAAACAATAGGGAAAAAACTACATACGGCAAAAAAAATCAAGACATCGAAGGATTTCGTGTCACTAATGAGATATCAAACTTACGCTTAAAGCCTATCGGACGAACGTGTAAATAAGCTAGATGAAGCTGACATTGAAGAGTTGCTGGACATTGACAATAATTCATCTGCTGTGCAATCTTTGAGTGATGGGGAGATTGTTGAAATGGTGTTAAAAACGGGTAACAATAGTAATAATGATAATGACAGTGGACACGGGTGAAAAAATGTCTATAGACGATGTGGTGACATTATGTGATCAGTTAATTCGTCCTCTTGAACAACATGCATTTATCGGTGAGCAAGAAATTATGGCAATTTACTCAAAGAGAAACAGCTTAGACAGAAACCTATGTTAATGAGACAGATGACACTTGAAGAATTCCTTAAAACGGCCGTCTGTCGTAGTGATACTTCACTACCTGAGAATCTTGTTCCTGACTGATCACCAGATATACGAATGCAACCTGATGAAGACGATGGCGATATTGATGTCACCTCTTCAATATCCTCAAGATAGATACGGAGAACTTTTAACCTGAGTGTCCTAGTCTTTACCATATTATGATTCTAGTTTATAAATAAACTACAATCCTTGCTGTTTGTGGTTTTTCTTTACCCCACTCTTTAGAAACTATCTTACGCTACTGTCGGGTAAGTGACAATATTGAGCAACAGAGAGGCATGAGAGTGCAACATCTAAAAGGTTGCGATGGATAAATTGTCGTCTAAATTACACAAAATTTAAAGTAACGCAAACATCTCATTTTAACAGATATTTTTGCCAAAATTAAACAAAAATATCTTAAAATACTAAAGAGTAAATATATTCAATAAAATCGCCATTGGCTATAACCATGCCCCCCCCTAGACGAGTTTGGAATCTACTGCAACTCTTCTAGACGGTGTCCTTGTTTAAGTTGGTGAATGCTGCCATAATCCTTGCCTTCAGTTTATCTTTGGTGTTACAAAGAGTTTTGTTGTTCTCTCGCTCAACTGCGCCCCCACATATTATAATCGAGGGGGTTGCAATCTGGGGAGTTATGTGGCCAGAGGAATGTGAATGTGAAAGTGATTGCAACTGGCTAGGACGAAATTTGAATTTGGCTCATTGATACAACGTTCCGGGAACTCTGACGTGGCGTAATGGTTAGCAAGCTTGTCTCGCTCAATAATTTATGACTGGGTAATGTGTTCGATCCTCACTGGGTAACCCATACTTTCGGCCTTGTGCTACATCTAAGCTAAGCTTAGAAAATCACTATTGATACAACGTTCCGCGCTGCCTATCTTGCCTGGGGTTACTTTCTTTTAAATTCTCAACTAAAACGTTAAGTTTTCCAACTTGAACCATAAACCCTTGCTATTCTTAAGCGCCATTGCTTAACTATAGAATCACACTTCAGAATGGTTGTTTGGGATACAACCCATTCTATTTTTGCTCTTTTTGAATTGAAAACATCAGTTCAATTTTTTTTTTCCTGGAGAGTTAGAGAAAGTTCAACTTCCTCCGGAGCCGATTATGTTCTAAAGTAGTTTAGAATCTCAAACCTGCTGCCCTATTTGCTATTGATCTCCGTCCTATCAAACCACTGTTACAATTTCCAAAACAGCGCCTCCGGGGATAGAAAGGAGAGGTACAGAAGACAGAGAGCCTTGGAAGCAAGGATAAACGTTTTCTTCCGCTTGTGCTTTGTATTAGCATACATCAGAGTTTCTCTCCGCGCTATGGATCGAAAACGTTGTTGCAATAGTGTTGATTGGTCACAATTAGCAGGCGTCCGGGAACGAGTCCTTTAGATATTGCGTACAAACAATATCAAATTTTATACAATATGGCGGAAGGCCTTCATGGAAAACAAAGCAATTTTCCTCGTAAATTGAAGATTAAAATGAAGACTGTTTTCTTTCTTTTCTCTTCTTCAAATATATAGATTTTCTAAAATCACGAGATAATACAGTTAAATGTCTAAAATCACACCAAAACGTTTATACTTTTTATTTTTCCCCGATCGCTCGACGCCATATTCCATGCTATTATTTTACGTGTAGTAATAGTAGTAGTAATAATATTATCTTGAATTTTTAAGTGAATCATTTTCAACAATTAAATATTAGTCAAATTTAATAATGGTCGACAAAGCTTCCTATGCATAAAAATTCATTAAAAAAAAAGGTTGCAGATTATATTTTCTTTGTTGTTCAATTTGGGAACGAAGAGGAGATTTATGCGAAAGTGAGCTGTCATCATTAAACTTCTGTCGGACAGCATGC